GTATAGTTTAAAATGACAATTATTAGATTTAATATTATTAATAAACTTTTTAATTTATTTTAAAAAATATGATATATCAGAAATAATGATATAGCCTATATATATATATATATAATTAATATCTCAAAATTTTACCTATAAAATTGCTTTTGGAACTCTAATAAAAAAAAATTTCTTGTTAAATTTTGCAAAATCAGAATTTATTTTTATAAAAATTAGTTTAATTTCAACTTATATTAATTAAAAATAATATTTATATACAAACACTTAGTATAAATTAATTTTCTTGAAATAAAGATTTAAATTAATAATATATTAAAAAAAAATTATACATATTTGTTTTTTTTCATATTATACCTAGTTTTATTTTCTGATTAAACAAAATAAAAAAACAGTAATATTGCCAACACTAGCTATAAATCTGGCTAACCCTAATCCTAAATCGGGCCGTCGGTAAAAAGATTGTCAGCGAAATTGATTATCGACATAGATTAACCAATCATATTACAAGATCAGGTTTATTGTGAAAGTCATTTGTCGTATGATATATAGAATGGTCTAGAAATTTCGAAGAATTATACGTTTATAATAAGTAATTTATCACGTGAGTTAAGATTCAGGTAATTTGCTTAAAAAGCAAAAGATGGATCTTATTGATCTACAAAATTTTGTATAAAACCACTTTTCTGAATCAAATGAGTAAAAGCCAAATAGACAATAGTTGCAATCTATTGCAGGAACAAAATGTCGAAAAGGTTATACAACATTCAAACACGCTATTACAATGCGAGATTGTTGAAACAACTATTTATCACGATAAAGAATGCGATTGGAAAAGAATCGTATCGTCGAATGAACACCCAGATTTGATTGATTTTACGTCGCTTGAAAGACATAATCCACCTAATAAATTTCCATTAGAAATAAACATTAGCCTAAAAGATCTTATCAAATTCAAAAAATAATAAAGTTAATTTGAAAGAATCGGGGTCCATTAAAAAAAATGGAATTGTCCACGAATTGGATGATAATTCCAAAAATATTCAAGACACTTCACAAAGCACGTGACCTTGAAAACTATACTCATATCCATCAACAAATTACTACAGCTACTGAAAAAAGATGCCAAGCTCT